GTTCTTGTAATGTCTGTTAGGCTTTTGGTATGTTGTATTAACCTCAACAGTTTCCTCTTCCTGTTTTCTGAAAAAGTTTCTGTAAGATTGGTGGTATTCCTTCCTTGAATGTTTGGTAGAATTCACCAGTGAAACTGAGTCTTGAGTTTCCTTTTGGAAAGTTTTGATACATTTTATTTCTTTGATATAGGGCCATTCAGATTTCCAGATTTTTCTTGTGTTAGTTTTGGCTAAGCTGAATTATAAATATATTTGTTGACTTTGTGTGAGTAGTCTAATTAGTGGGCATAAAGTTGTTCATGGTATACCTTTTTTCTCCTTTAATGTCCATAGAACTTGTGGTGATAACCTCTTTTTCATTTCTGATAGTGGTGATTGTTTCATACATTTTTCTTTATCAGTCTAGCTAGGGGTTTTTTAGTTGTGCTTTTCATTCCAAAAAATCAGATTTTGGCTTTGTTATCTATTGTCTGATTTCTACTTTGATTTTTGCTATTATATTTCCTTTTTTTTTTTTTTTTTCTATTTCATTTGGGCTTACTTTGCTTTTCTTTCTCTACCTTGTTAAGGTGGAAACTGAGGTGATTGATTTTAGATGTCTTTTCTTTTCTAATATAAATATTTAAAACTCTTAGTTTCCCTCTAAGCCATGACTAATAGAACTTTTTACAGTGATGGAAATATCCTATTTTCTGCTGTCCAATTCAGTGGCCACTAGCCACATGTACCTACTAAGCACTTGAAATGTAGCCAGTGTGAGGAATTGGAACTTTTATTCTAATTAAATTTAATCACATGTGGCTAGTGGCTACTGAATTGAGCAGTGTATCTCTAAGCACTGCTTTACCTGCATCCACAAATTTTATATCATTAAATTCAAATTTGTCTAATTCCTCTTGTGATCTCATCTTTGACCCATAAATTACTTACAAATATGTGGTTTAATATCCTGATGTTTTGGGGTTTCCTGCATATCTTGTAACCAATTTCTCACTCCACTGTGGTCAGAGAATACACTGTGTATAATTTTAATACTACAGCCCCGAATATATTCTATCTTGATGAATATGCCATGCATACCTGAAAAAAAGTATTTTGCTATTGTTGGAGGTAGTGTTCTGTAAGTGTCAAGTAGATTGAGGTGGCTGATAAAGTGGTTTAAGTCTTTTGTCCTGACTTGTCTAGTTGTTCTATGAACTGCTAAGTGGGTGTTAAAAATCTACTACAGCAGGGTGCTGGCTGGCTCAGTCAGTAGAGCATGTGACTCTTGATCTCAGGGTCACACATTGGGCGTGGAGCCTATTTAAAAAATTTTTTTAAATCTATGGCAAAATTGTCAGTTTCTTCCTTCGATTCTTTAAACTCTTTATTCATGTAATTTAAGGCTGTTAAGCATATACACATTTATACTTGTACTATCTTCCTGATGAATTGTCCCTTTTATCATTATGAAACATTCCTAATTTTTATCTATGGCAATAATCTTTGAAGTCTATTTTATCTGGGATTTATATAGCCACTCTAATCTTATGCTAATTTGCATGTTCTATTTTTTCCATCTTTGACTTTAAACTCATCTGTCTTTTTTGTTGTTGTTGTTGAAGATTTTATTTATTTGATGAGAGAGACAGTGAGAGAGGGAACACAAGCAGGGGGAGTGGGAGAGGGAGAAGCAGGCTTCCTGCAGAGCAGGGAGCCCCATGTGGGGCTCAGTCCCAGGACCCTGAGATCATGACCTGAGCCGAAGGCAGAGGCTTAACGACTGAGCCACCCAGGCGCCCCCTCATCTGTGTCTTTAAAGTGTTTCTAATAGGTAGCATATGAGCTTTTCCCTAACCCACTATCAGTCTTTTAATTAGAATGTTAATAGGTCAATAATATATAATTATTGATATGGTTGGACTTTGGCATACAATTATTCAATTAGTTTTTTGTCCCCTCTTTGTGTTCTTGCCGAACACTTCAGGTTTTACTCCCCTCCAGTCTGTTTGCCTTTACTTTTTAAAGCCCTTGTGTGGTTTTCTTTCTTCCTTTTTTCTTTCTATTTTAACCAATTTGTCATTTTAAGTGGTGGGAGGGTTGGGTTGGTAGGGCTGACATTGTGATAGTGGGTGGAACCAAACCCCCACGTGTGCTTTTATGAAGGTTTCATAGACATTTTCACTTATGCATAGACTACTTTGGAAGTATACACAAGAAATCGGTGATTGAGGGGAAAAGAAATAAACTGGTGATTGTGGATATAGGGAGAAATTGTGAAAAACAAGAGGAAAAACTTTTCAATACAGACCCCTCTGCACTTTGACCATTAGAATGTACGTATTTTCAAAAAAGGTATTAACTAGTCAAAAAAAAAGGGGGGGTATTAACTAGTCAAAGCAGTCCATGTGGGATGGATTAAACATTAGGCAGTTTAAAGGACAGATGTAGCAAATGGCAAAGGCTCTATCCTGATCACCTAAAAAAGTAAACCCATTGGTAGCCACAAGGAAGATAGCAGTATCTGATATGTTATATTCCAAGTGAAAGTGTATCTTGCAGATAAACATGCCTTCAAATATTTGTTTAGGGCTGCCTTCTGGCCCACCATCTTTCACAGAGGCGCAGCAGTTTAATTTTTGTCATGCTTCTCAAGAGTATGCACGCAGCTACGCCTTCTCACAGGAGCAAGCTTGGGCACAGGTGAAGCAATTAAAAAGCTTCTCTATTCTAGTGGGGGCAGTTCCTGCAATTCTACTGAAGAATCCCGGCTGGCACTTGTAGTGAGGAGATTAAATTGTATGATGGCTTTTTTGGTAACTGCATAGTAGAAAGCCTGTTTAAAAAAAAAAAAAACGAAAACCAAAAATCTTACCAATCATGCCTTTCACTATATAGCAGCAGTGTCCAATAACCATAAGTAGCTATTGAGCACTTGAAATGTGGGTATTCCAAATTGAGATGTGCTATAAGTACAATGGATTTTGAAGACTTACCCTGAAAAAAGGAATATAAAATATCTTGACAATAATTTTTAATGCATACATGTTGAAATGATAGTATTTTGGATATATGGAGTTAAATATAGAAACATTTCACCTGTTTCTTTTTAGTTTTTTAATGTGGCTATTAAGGACATTTAAAATTACATACATAGCTCATATTTCTAGGGGGAGTCTTAGAATTCTTTTTTTTTTTTAAAGATTTTATTTATTTATTTGACAGAGAGAGACACAGCGAGAGAGGGAACACAAGCAGGGGGAGTGGGAGAGGGAGAAGAAGGCTCCCCGCGGAGCAGGGAGCCCGATGCGGGGCTCGATCCCAGGACCTGGGATCATGACCTGAGCTGAAGGCAGTCGCTTAACCATCTGAGCCACCCAGGCGCCCCTTAGTAGAGTATTCTTAACAAAAACTCATGACCAGTTGGGACATCCACATGTAATAAAATGAATCTAGACACAAACCATATGCTCTCTACAAAAATGAGCTCAAAATGGATCACACACCTAAATGTAAGAGCAAAACTTATTATAAAACTCCTAGAAGATAACGCAGGAGAAAATCTAGATGACGCTGGGTTTGGCAGTGACTTTTTAGATGAAATACCAAAAGCACGATCCGTGAGAGAAAAAGTTGGACTTCATTAAAATTAAAAACTTCTCCCTAGAAGACATTGTCAAGAAAATGAGAAGACGAGCCAGCCACGGACCAGGCAAAAATATCTGTAAAACACATACCTGACAAATCACAGTTATCCATAATATACACAAAATTCTTAAAACAATAAAATGAACAACCCAATTAGAAAAAAGGGGCAAAAGACCTGAACAGACCCCTCACCAAAGATAAACACTTGATAGACACATGAAAAGATGTCCAACATAATGTCATAGGCAGAATGGAAATGAGGTATCACTACTAGTACACCTACTAGAATGGCTGAAATCCCAAACACTTGACATCACCAGATGTGGCAAGTATGCAAAGCGACAGGAACTCATTCGTTGCTATAGGAATTCAAATGGTACAGCCACTTTGGAAGACAGTTTGGCAGTTTCTTTTTTTTTTTAAAGATTTTATTTATTTATTTGAGAGAGAGAATGAGAGACAGAGAGCATGAGAGGGAGGAAGGTCAGAGGGAGAAGCAGACTCCCTGCCGAGCAGAGAGCCCGATGCGGGACTCGATCCCGGGACTCCAGGATCATGACCTGAGCCGAAGGCAGTCGCTTAACCAGCTGAGCCACCCAGGCGCCCCAGTTTGGCAGTTTCTTACAAAACTAAACATACTATTACCGTAGGATCCAGCAACTGCACTCCTTGGTTGGATATTGATCCAAATGAACTGAAAACGTCCACATAAAAACCGGTCCACATATCTTTATAGCAGCCTTATTCATAATTGCCGAAATTTGGGAGTAATGAAGAGGTCCTTCAGTAGATGAATGGATAAACAAATTAAGTTACATCCAGACAACGTAAAATTCAGCATTAAAATGAAGTGAGCTATCAAGCCATAAAAATACATGGAGAAACTTTACCTGCATATTACTACTAAGTGAAAGAAGCCAAGTTGAAGCCAAATTGTACATACCATACAATTCTAACTACATGACATTCTGGAAAAGGCAAAACTATGGAGACAATAAAAAGATCAGTGGTTGCCAGGGATTAGGGAGAGGGAAGATGAAGAGGCGGAAAACAGAGGATTTTCAAGGCAGTAGAACTATTCCATATTGTATTATAAATGGTGGATATATTTCATTGTAGATTTGTCCAAACTCACAGAATGTACAACACTGAAATTAAACTTTAACGTAAACTATGGGCTTTGGGCAATGTGTCAATGTATGTTCATCAGTTGTAACTTGTGTCCTACTCTGGTGGGGGATGTTGATTGTGGGGGAAGCTGGGCCAGGGGTGTGCAGGCCGAGAGTTTATGGGAACTCCATACTTTCTGCTCCATTTTGCTATGAACCCAAAACTGCACTAAAAAAATAAAGTCTATTTTAAAAAATGACGACTCAGTGTTCAAGCATTTTTATTAAATCAGGTAAGGGATTTCCACACTGTTGCACATACCAGCTTGGACACAATTTTAAGGGCATATCACTTGTTTACAAAGATATAGATGAGCAGTAGGTTGGCAAGTCTAATAAGCCATGTTTAGCCAACTGAAATTTCAAGAACATTCAAAGAGGAAACACAGTAAAGGTCATGCAAGTTCTAGAACAGTGAGTCATGATAGAGCTCATTTCTTTTATCCTTTACCTTCAAAATGCACTTGATATCTATAACCAGAAAAAATCTGAAGTCCAGCAGGTTGTTGCTAGTCAGATACACATTTCATTCAGGAATATTAAGCCTCTTACCACTTAGTGGCTTTTTGGATTAGAAATAACTGAATCCTCACCATGGAAAAGAGGTTTTTGAAGAGATTTATTGCTGTAAATGGATGCCCATTATTCATATTATGTCTTGAAGTTACTGAGCTTTCATTAAAGTATGATAAAGCATGATACCCAAACCAGGGATCTCAGCTATGACCTTTTCACTCAGCTACACTAAATACCAGTTCAAGAGAAAACACTGTGAAGACTAAACAGACTGCGAGCAGTGAAGCAGTTCAGTGAGGCTGTAATCATCTAGATCGAGGCTAACTTAGGCAGGTGACGCTAAGTTTAGGAACCTTAAGAGACCCTATGGACTTTTTCTTACGTGACGATTTCTTAGGGTGAACTACTGCCCTATGACAAACAGCTGATTATCAGGTTTATAATGATGGCTGACCAGAAAATAAAGTCTTACTCATGTAGCTTCAAATTTATTTGTTTACATCTATATTTAACTGAAAACCACCACATACTAATGGGTAGGTAGACATGATCAAAGATCCTTTTGCAAGCCTCACTTCCCTACACCTTTCACTCCCCACCCCCCCACCCCAGGCCTCCTACGCAAGTTTCCCCTGATTTAAGCTAAAAGGTCAATTCTGGATTCCAACTTGTATGAACTAAGTTTACAGGAGAGAACATACAAATACGGGGATAAAGTTAAATTCATTTGTCAACGGCAAACATTATAAATGTATACTACTTTCCCGCTAAACAGAAGACCTGGAGAAACCACAAATATAACGAGATACTACATTAGGTTTAAAAACAAAGAATCTTGAAGGAAGTAATTTTATTTTATAGTGGTTGAATTCACCCACCAAATGCTTAATGACCATAAAATGTTTCTGCAACTAAAACTAAAAGAGAATTATAGGGAGCTGGGAATACATGTTAGATACTAACGATCTTCAAGCTTTGAAGATGTCATTGCATGAAGAAAATTATGGGAAACACTGTTCCCGATAATTACGTACACCCTTAGTGTAACATATGGAGATCACTGTCTCCGATATAGACACTGTGGTAGGCAAAAACTACCTTGTTCTTTATACATTATGGAAGACACTGCTTCCGATAATGTGAGTTAGGTTTGTGACAAAGGTACTGGAAATTTTGCAAAATTCGAATTAAAGTTACACCTTGGATAAATTGAGCTGTAAAATTTCACACATATGAGTACTATCAAGCCTTTAAGTGACATTAATTTATGACTTGGTTACAATTCCTTCCCTTTAGGAGAACTGCTATTTTTATCTGGTTGGCTAAACAGAAGTCTAACTTGATTAGCAACCCCCAATTAAATGGAATTCTTTACTGATATTTAGCTTTAAAATTTTATTTGGCTTGTGGCTGTTTTCTAAAACCCATGAGTGTTGGCCATAAATGCAAAACTTCCAGTATCTGTTGGGTTTTATTAGCAGATGCTGCTTTTATTAAAAAAAAACGACAGTATAACTGTCATAATTATGGAAGGCACTGCTTCCGATAATTATCTTCTATAAAAAAAAACACCATTTATAGTGAACTCTGTCACTGATAAATAAACAATAAATATCTCAGTGCCAAAATGATAGAAAGCTTTTCCAAAAAATTAACACTTTGGCCAAAATTTGGCAGTGTGTTCTTTAACGTCTGACAAACTGAGTTTGAAATTAAACACCTGAAGCTGGTTCTCTTTCAAAATACTTCGGGAAACACAAAAACGACAAAAAACTAATGAACAAAGGCTTACGGGGGAGGGGCAGATGAAAAGAAAATATAGGTCTTTGGCTTCTGGTCTCCTCTTTTCATAAATAATCTTGAGGTTAACACATTAAGGCCTTACTCCTGTGATAAACAGTTGAACCTCATTTTATTCAACTGAAGGACCTCTGCTTCAGACCTCATGGGCAAGAAAACAAGTCCCATCTCTTCTGAAAGTTAACTGTTTCATTCAAGGATGTGGAAACCAGCTAAATCCTTAAAGAAGGCATATATCTCATTTGGAGAATGAGGTCTTACAACCTGGTATCTCCTATCCAGCACCAAATGAAGGCAGAGGATCACACCAAGCCACCACTTCCAGCCTTCAGCAGGTACCACCCTCCTCCTCCCCCTTAGAAGATAGCAGTTCATGTCCTTAGGATTTAGAGCAATAATTCATGTAACTGGTTCTGACTTTTTCATAACTGTAACAAGAAAGAGGCAGTTACCATACAAAGCATTTAAAATTTTAGAGATGATCAGAGAAAAGATTCTATTATGAACATTTTTAAGTCGTTATTCACTTTAAGTGCAGGTACCTACCCTGTAATAAAAGCTGCTGCCTAAAGATATCTAGGAGTACCAAGATGGTTGGGTAGAATTTTAACAATATTAGGTTTTGTAGCCCTACTAAAAATTTAGCACAACCAGCACAAGTCTAGAAATCACACTACCCTGATGTTCTTAGAGAAGTTATGGGCATTACATTTAAAGCTCATTGTCAATGTCCCATATGTCACCAGAGAGGGCATTTGCAGCTCCTTGAATAGTCCAAGTTGCTAGAGCCAACTGGTTTCTCAGCAGTGTTTCATTAAAAGCACTGTTATTTTTCTGACGCAGCTTCAGATGCTCTAGTAAAGCTGACAGAGTGTGAGAGCCAGACCCCCAGAAGATGTGTCGGAAAGGAGAATCTCTCGGAGATATGTAGGGTGAGAGGAAGTTATATTCCACCTATGGAAACAAAAACATACAAGAGAACTTACACAGTGCTGGGACTTTTGCTGTGAGGGGAGGACCTGATGTAGTAAAACAACCGTCATTCTCTCACTTTAAATGTTAAAAATCCCCAAATTTAAGAACGTGGAGAACCAGGTTACTAATCTTCTAACATGAAAATTATAAAGTAAACTGTCAATTCATTTGTAAAAGTGAACTCTAATTGTATTTTTTTTTTTTAGTTACAGAGCATACATATGGAAGATTTACAAGTTCCCACTGTAATGAAGTCTCCTGCCTCTTCCAAGCAGATTAAGATAAAAGCAGTTAAGGGCTGAATTAGAGAACAGGAATACAGAGAAAATGACAGCTAAAAATCATTAATGATCCCTTTCTAAAAAGGTTAATACTAGGTCAAATGCCTTTTGTATTTCCAGTTTAGATATGTCAGTTCTAGGTCTTGCTAATAAGAGTTAAAAATCTGTGCTCAATTCTAAAGCAGCAAAGGATTCTAAGGTCCTGGAATCCCTACTCTACTTTTTAGAAATGCAAGATTTACCAATGAAATATCAACATACTTTAGTTCTCCCTTTTTTAGACATTTACTTACTTTCATGATACGGTCATTGATCTCCCTCATGATATATCTGTTTGTTCTCTCTGCATTCTTATAATCTGTTGTTAGTCTGGAGGTGGCTCGGAAAAAGTCTCCACGAGCAGAATACAGCCATTGTAGATTCAGACCCATCTCCTGAAGCAGAAAGACATGAAACTTCTATGAGATATTTATTCTAAGGATATTATTCTACATACCTTTCTAATTTAGTGGTAGCAACTGAGACAGTTCTGATAAAAGGGGGTGACTCGCAGGCAGAGAATGCTAGACTTAGGCACCTTGCCCATGAGGCCCCAGGCTCTATGAACTAGAGTAATACACTCGTATCTGAGCCCAGCAGATGGCACAGTTATCCATTCTTAGTCTCCCAAGGAAGCCGTCCTCATCAAGAAATTTAACAGAATTTACTTAATATATAATCCTGTGCAGTATATTGTTTCCAGGCCAGTTTGCTGATGGGGGAAAATCTTAACCATTTTGGCTCAATGAACTTCACAATCTAGTAATTTTTCTCATAAGTCCCATTTTCTGATCAATTATAGTATCAAGTTTCAAGAAAGCCATAATCATTAAGACTTATCAGTGATTTACTTCATTTAAGGGATCTGTTAAATTGACTTCTAGTACCATAAAACCAGTTGGAAGCCACCTATTACTATTAATTTGATTTTATCAAGGATTTGAATACTAGGCACACAGAACCAACACTAAGTAAGATTGTAATTACTGGCTATGTTCTCTCTCCATCTGTGACATCCCTGAAAGGCATGATATATGATATATATATATAGATATATATATAGAGATATCATATGATATATGGCCCAAACTCATAGGTCCAGAGTCATGGTTGAGATCTTTATATTCTCTGGGTCCTCTTTACAGGTCGCTTGGAATTACATAAACATAACATACCTTAGGCTAATTAGATTCTGAAATACTTACTGTGGTATAGCCTAGATTTATAACCCACAGCCTCTCAACTTTCCTTTCAAATGAGTTACAAATTCTATGAAAACTTATACATTAGTTCACTTTAAAATGTACTTCAGCTACCAACCCTGTCCCTCCTCAGGAACAGCTAAACATCATTCTTCAAACTGTTGGATATTTCAGCACTAAGAACCTGATTTTAATTAGTGCTCACCTTTATGTCTGCTCTGAATTGGTTCATATCCCTCACAAATGCAAGTATTTTGTCATTATACATCTCATAGTTCAGGTTCAATTCAAGATCATAGGTAAGTTTCATTATAAGCTGACCAGCTACTTCTGCTGCTCCACGTGCCATTTCATTCAACTGAGGAATTTTCTGTTTCAGTTTCTCATAGACATCCATGGTAGTACCCAAATAAGGATAATCTGTGCCCTGAAAAACAAAGGTAGGTGAATGTACTCACAGGTGGGTCCTAAGAACAGGAGCCCCACATTCATTTCACTATCAAGGTAATAGTAGTTGGGATTCTTCCCTTGCTTCTAATGTATTCCTACTCCAATTTTATCTCCCATCTACTACACTGGTACCACTTTTGCTACTTCCTCTGAACCTAACCTGCTCCTAGAATGACTGCTTTCTTCTAGGTCCTACAGAATCCCTGTTCTATTGCATCATATACCCTGAACAGATGTCCAGCCAAATTTCTTGAGGTTGTATCCTTATTTTCCACTCTCTGGGAAGTTTGGCTCATTAAATAAGGAAAGAGGACAGCATATGTGAAGTGTATTTTTGATATAAAGTGTCACACTTAGACTAAAATTGACCTTCTTTCTAATGATTCAGCACTCAATCCATTCATATGTGTTACCTTTCTAACAAGAGGTTGTCTCTACCTTCATTAGACAATTTAAGTAACTATTTCTTCAACTCTATTTTCTTTACTTTCAGACTATATAGACTATTCTGTATTACCTGCTAGGTTTTTGACATGTAAGAAGTCAGTAAGAAGTTTTTTAAAAACCTTCTGGAGGTCAACAGAAATCATTCATAAATCTCCTCAACCCTAGGACCAGACATTCAGTTCTTCCTAATGTACTAAACAGATATTGTGACCCGCTATTTCAATGCCATCCACACTGCTGTTCTAGCAGAAGGTCAAGAGAGTTCCAGCTATGTTAATCTTCAAATCCAGATCTTACATCACTCCCTTGCTTCAGACCTTTCCCCTCCTAGTCCCAGGCCAAAACATCCAGTGATAAAAAGTCACGTGAGGACTTGGCCTCCATGAGATCAATAATTCGATGCAAAAGTTAACACTTTCCACCCTGACCTCCTATACTAAAACTCCAGGATCTCTTCATCCCTTGGAGAGCCCACTACAGGCCTGGCTTTCCAACTTTAGCACTTCAGCACAGAGGCCTTCATCCTTCTGTTTACTCAGAGTAGCCTTCAGGGCCTTCTAATTGGCTCCTGAAACAAGCCAATCTTGCTTTCCTACAACTTGGTCTGTTCAAAATTCTGTCTCGTAACAACCTTACATCTGTTTGGTTTTTGTGCTTTTACCCATAATCCCTGTTCAAGAGATTAACATCTTTGGACAAATGTCTAGAACGATATCTTAACAGGTATCAAGTACAGCAATGTCCAGTTGAACCTTCTGTTTGGTGGAAATATTCTATATCTGCACTGTCCAATAGGTAGTAGCCTTGTTATTAAAACTCATGATACCTAATTGAAGATGTTTTAGCAAATAAATTCAACTGCTAATTAAGCTAACTGAGAACAATTCTACGTCGAGACTGATAATAAGGGAGCATGCAATAACTGCATGTGTATAACTTCTTAAAACATTTTAAGCACTCTAGGTCTCAAAATTGATGAAAGAAGATCTAAGATATAACTTTAGAGTTCAGACTTACCTCACAAAAACAGAAAGAAACTGCTGGGATTCCAGAATACGCAAGGAAAGGGAAAGCAGCATTATCCAAAGAAAATTCCTCTCTGCAAGGAAAGCAAGAATGTGTCTCTAGAAAGTTTTCTAAGTAGCAAACTGTGCTATCATGCAACCCTACCCCTATCCCCAAATAAATTCTTAAATTGACTCTAAGTACAGGTAAGCTCACTGCAAGGTTAGGTTTAGATTTCTACCTAACATAGCAGGTGCTACTGGATGATTTTGCTTTTCTATAAGCCGTTCATTCACTTTTCTCAACTTACACTTTGTTGATCCAGTTGCTGTCCCGATAAAGAGACTGCTTAGTAACCGGATGTTTCACCTGTAAAATAAAAAATTAATTTGTCACTAAAATGAATCTTTCTGGACATAGTTATTCAGGCTGGTCACAAACATATTTAGATCTATAAACATTTACTGTATCTTCTTGAAAAATTTACTGTATCTTCTTGAAAAAAATTTAAGATCGTTAAAACAATCTCAAATTTCTAAAGTTATTCCTACTAGGCTCATGCTGTCACGGTTCCCTTCAGTTACAAGGAGAAAAAAATGTTCTCCTCCTTTAACCATTTTAAAGGTGGGTTAGCCTCAATTCTAAAAGCCCTTTCTAGCCTTCATGATAGGCCTATCTTGTTTCTGTTTTTTTTCCCTTGTAGCTCATTTTATACTACTGCAGCCTAACCTGCAAACACATTACTGCCTTGCTGGAGACTCTATAGCAATTCCTAGTTTCCCATAGGATCCAGGTCAAGTTCTCTGACCCTTGTTCCATCCGTCTTTAATCATTCCACAGGCGCCTGAGTGGCTCAGCTGCTTAAACGTCTGCCTTCGACTCAGGTCATGATCTCAGAATCCTCAGCAGGGAGTCTGATTCTCCCTCTCTCTCTGTGCTCTCTCTCTCTCAAGTAAATAAATAAAATCCTTAAAAAAAAAATCATTACCGATATATATGGCCTCTAAGCCCATTACGCCAAATCTCATTCCTCCCTGTTGCAAACCGTGGTTACTTATGAGGGTTTAAACATCATTTTCCATCTTATTGTAAATTAGATGAAAAATAAGTTACAGATTTTGTAATTAGGTATACACTCACATCTTTCATCGTTTTCTCAATAAGCGAATACAACAGTGGGCTGGCCGAAACCTTGAAGTTGTTGGTACCTGCAAAGAGATTATTTTAAAAACACTGCCCCTTCCCTAGTCAAGTAATTTTTACATGGCAGCTTCTACAACCAAAAGTACTCAACAAAAAAGGAAGACAATAACTTAGATGAGTGGCCAAATACAATTATCCTCTTCAAGAACTAGACAAAAGAAGTGATTTAAGAGTCAACTTCTTTAGTAACTGCTAACCCTAATTTGACTCGACTGAAGCTCTTACTCCTGAGTTGGCATATGTTAATGTTAATGATTGGTTTTTTGGTACCTTTCTAGTTCACCTAATTAGGGCAGTCATCTGCTAGCTACTGTCTGCTCGCTACACTCCATACATTCTGCTGTATAGGTAAGATAGCAATAACGACGAATCCAATAAAAATTTAGTTCAATTTTAACTCCTTCCTTTTTCTTTCCAATGAGATATTTTACTATTCTCAGTTCATCCACTGGCTACCTCTGCACTTTTAATAACATTCAAATTCTTTTAGAAGTTTGACTACCTGGTATTTCTATTTGTGATGCCACCATCTAGCTAGAAGTGAATTAGTCTCTAGAAGTACCATTCTATATGGTACGGTTTAGTTCCTTCTTGTCTAAAAAACAATCCAGACTCAGACTTTAGTGCATCAGAATCACCACAGTGCTTGTTAAAACACAGTTTGCTGGACTTGTGCTCCAGTTTCAGACTCAAAAGGTCTGAAATTTTACATTGCTAACAGTTCCCAGGTGATCCGAATACTGCTAATTGAGGACCACACTGGGAACTGTTGCATTCAACAAGGCAATCTGCACCCATTCTACAATTTAATGGACTACTAAGAGAAAGCTAAGTCAGTCTTAATCAGGGAATGGACAATGTAAATTGTAGAAAATAATGAGTGTTGCTGTAAAAAGCTTTCTTCTGTTTTATTAGTAGTTTATCTAAATTCATAAACAGTTAATGAAAAGGATACTTACCAAGAATAGCTTTATCCAGATTAATGTACGTGAAAGCCTTTAAATGCAGGGAGGAAAGGTATCCCTGGAAGAGAAGGAAAAATACTAAATGTACTAATATGTATTAATCCAACTGTCACATGGAGCAGCTATTATTAGGGGCCTCTTTTTAAATTTAGAGTCTATTCAGATTAAATATACAAAGGCAAAAATGATATACAGTTGACCCCCCTAACGTGGGGGTTAGGGCACTAACACCCTCCCCACGCAATTGAAAATCCACATATAACTTCTGACCCCCCAAAACTGAACTACGAATAGCTTATTGTTGACTGGAAGCTTTACCAGTAACAGAAATAGTTGATCAACACTTATTTTGTATGTTATGTGTATTACGTATTGTATTCTTACAATAAAATAAGCTAGAGAAAAGAAAATGCTAAGAAAAGCATAAGAAAGAGAAAATACATTTAGAAGACTACACTGTATTTATATATAAAAAAATCCACACATAAGTGGACCTGCACAGTTCACACCTGTGTTGTTTAGGATCAACTGTAATCAAATCTAAAAGAGTATAGTTTCTGCAGGACAAATTAAGCCAAGACAAGTTCAGCTGCCCATTCTGGGGATGGGTGCTGTACAGATAATACCTCTAGCCATTCAGTGGCACCAACTGCTCCAAAGTCTCCAGCACTCCAGCTGGCAAAGACAATGCTTCTGCTGGGTCTAAAGCCATCTAAAAGGTAACAACAAGTTGTTTTATCTTAGAACAGGTTATAGGTAGGCAACTGACATAAGATGAAGTCAGAAATTTCTAATTCAAGACGGCAGATTAAAAAATATTTCTTTCCCTTTTGAGGCCCCAGGTGAAAGAACAACAACAGACAGAATAAAAATAAATTTTAAAATAATCTACAAGGATTACTTGCATAAGAGATCATTTGCAAAAAAGATTTCAAATACATGGTAGGGACCAGTTTTTATAGGAAATTACTTTTTTCCCAACTCTATTCTTTGAGCCCCTTAACTTCTGGACCAAGAAATACTTGAAATCATGGTATAACTACAACGTGTACCTTCTCTGAAAACAATCTGCGCAGAGGTCAATCACTTAAAATGCTGGGTTACTTTACAAACAATTGTTATGAAATAGAATACAAATTCTCACATTTAAGTTATAAGAAAGAGTTTTCAGAGGAATTACATTAATGACAGCTCCTTTTGGGACTATATGTGCCACTGCCCTCCATTCCTCCCCTTTCCTTGGGTATGTATTTTTTTGTATTATGTACTTTTGCATAAAAGTTAAGCACTGCAACTTACCCTCTGACCCAAAGATTCAAGAAGGTGATGGGGGTTTGTGGGGGGGGGGTGTGTGTGTGTAGAGAAGTGGCCAAGTACCAAGGGAGAAAGGCTTGAAAGTGTTTATATATTATAAATATATATGAACATACCTAGTATTCTAAGTATAATATATAAAATTACATATTACAACTTTATAACAAAATTACAGAAAATTAGTACAGAGGTATACCACTGCTTGCTTTAAAATAGATTCCTTAGGGACCATGTTAGATTTGCCATATCATTCTGAATATGTCAAACTAAGAATTAGGGTCCAGTACAATACTTTTTTGGTGTCTCAAAAAGGAGCTGATACCCAATGCAATGAAGACACTACATGGAAAGCTGTTTCAAAGTCAAAGGCAGATCCAACAAAAGATGATCTGCTTTATACCTAAGAGCTCAGAGCCCAGCATAAGTGAACCATAATAATATAGGCGAAAGTGAGAAATCATATAATATTTAGAACTATACACAGCACATAGATATTCAAGTTCTCAAAATTTGTACTCTACCTTTTAAGACCATATCAGAAAATATCCGGGCAAGCTCCAATAGGAGAGCTGTTCCTACGCTAGACTTTGCAGCTCCAGGACCCCAGGCATCCCTCTGAGCCCCTATTACAACATAGCGATCTTAAAAAAAAAAAAAAAAAAAAGGATAAATTATACAATCAACTTTTAAACTGTTTTCTAATATTGAACTCTAGAATAATCATGTTAGTAAAAAGGGTAAAAATGCGGTATATGCTCTAAGGGTAAACAAAATATTTCATATCTGACTTAGGACTCCAGAAATTAAAAATTCACATGACAATACTAATCTCTTTCTCCTTATTAGTATTGCTACTCTTTCCACATTACCAATTAAGTTTACTCATCGGCTACCTATTAGTGCCCACTAATTGTTTAATAAGCAACCAAAGTCCACGGGCTTTCTTTACTAAATGATAGGACTATTAGATTCTACTTAAACAGATGGCCCATTCAAGGGGTCAGTGGTAAATCACAGCCTACGTACGCGTTCATTACGTATCATTTATGGCTGTTTTCATGCTGCGACGTTGGAGTTAAGTAGCTGCAACTGAGACTGATAGCCTGCAGCATGTTTATTATCTGCCCCCTTTAAGAAGAAAGGTGCTTACTGCTGTTCTATCCTGTAACTTAAAAGAGATTTTCTAATCTTAATAGCCAATTTTTGACAAGTTAATTTCCTAGGGTCTTATTATCTCCCAATAAAACTGACACCAAAACAGTTCGCTTTAGGACAGACAAGAGTTAGCATTCCACAAAACCAAGCCAAAGCCAGCCTTCCTGCACTCCCTCTTCTGGCCACATTCTTAAGAACTAGGAAAACAGGGGCGCCTGGGTGGCTCAGTTGGTTGGGCGACTGCCTTCGGCTCAGGTCATGATCCTGGAGTCCCGGGACTGAGTCCCACATCGGGCTCCCTGCTCAGCAGGGAGTCTGCTTCTCCCTCTGACCCTCCTCCCTCTCATGCTCTCTGTCTCTCATTCTCTCTCGCAAATAAATAAAATCTTAAAAAAAAAAAAAAAAAGAACTAGGAAAACACAAACAAAACAAAAACAAAGGTCTTACCAGGTTCTTCAAAACCTTTAATAACTCCAAAAACGTTAAAAATTCTTATCTCTTTCAGCACATTGTTCACAGTGAGCTTCACATTCCTGTTCTGGGAAGTCTCCAGCCTGCACGAGGAGTCTATTTCCCAGGCAGAAGGACAGTCTCCTTCCATATTTCTAGAAGAAGAAAAGAAACATCAGAGTTCTGAGTTACTGTTGCTTCCCCCAGGCTTTCAAAATCGGTCTTCCTTACTGCCCGGGGAAGGTCTAGGCTAAGAGGACATATAAAGAAAACATATACAAAATTTACTTCTTGGTGCCCAACCATCTGTATCTTACTCTGACTTGTAGGCAATCATTTGAACATCAGTTACCTCCAAGTTTAACCAGTGTTTAAAAAATTTCTCTACCTGTCCTCATCTGACACGTGCCTTTCTGCCAGAGACCCAGTTATAATTTACATTTTAAGTAGATACCAAGATGGACTCAGAATGAAGTTCTTACATACAAGCCCATTAATACATCCCCATGTTTCCTCACTCTCTCTACTAACCAGTATACATTCTTATCTTAGTTATAAAAGAATATTTTCATGCTGCTAATAGTTAGGTATCTTCCCCTATCAAATTCCTCATATGTTATCCAAACAATGACTGCTTCACTTACAGAAGTATGTCAAAACATTATTACCCCCCACAACACAAGGATAAAATAGGGAGCTGGCTTCACAGGTTAGGGAAGACTTGTAAGTGGTGATCGAACGATAAAAATCACCTATTAAAAATGCCTCGCAGATAGCATTGTTACTAGTCGCATAGTATTATACAGGTATCCTTACATGTAGATGCTCTTCATTTGAAACCAATCACCCTATTAGGTAGAATATATTTCAACTATCTAATTAAGTCAAAGAAACATGATCAGTGGGGTTAGAGTAACTTGTTCTACGTCACACAGCAAATAAATGTTCACCTAAGTGTCTGAGACTAGATCGATATCCTGTGCCAATACCAGGTGGGAAATATGTCCAGATCAAGATAAAAGTTAATGACAATTCCTCTAATCAGATTGGGTTCTCTTATTAAAGAGGGATACTAAAACATTAGGGAGGATATCCAGGACTAATCATGACTGTAAAGCATCTGGGAACTGTCACGAGAACTGAAGATATTCAATCTATGGACTAGAAAACTTGAATTGTTCTTTTGCTAAGAAGAAACTCTAAAACTAACAGGTGTTACAGGGAGTAAGATTTCAGCTCAACATGAATTCTAACAGACCTACTCCAAAAACTGAATGGGTTGCCATAGGCAACAAAGTGCTTTACCTCAGGAAGTCCTCAAGCAGAAGCTATATGCCAGGAATAGTATACAAGGAATTCACTGGGTAAATTGACCAAGGACTCACTGAGTTTATAAATCCAATGTCTAATTACTAAGATCACCTTATGGAGGAAAAAATTCATGTTTATCTACAAGTTAACAGCTATCCACCCCATGATATGCCAAATATGGAAAATTATAGCCAATTGTTTTAAATGTTATCAAATTAACTGAAACGATTACTATTCCTTTCTAATCACAAAACCAGTTTTCAAATAAGAGAGCTTTCCAATAAGAACTTACTCAAACAACTTTTCTGCAGCAGCTCTGGAAATTGTTTGGACAGGAATGCTGGGCAATCCTGATGACTGAGACGGTGGAAACTGAGTGTGATTGAAAGAAGGGAATCCAGGTGTGTACGGGTCACCTGTTCCCAGGTGAGCCTAGTAAGACAAAAGAATAAGTGCTCTGTCAGGCATTTGTTCAAGAAATCCCTAGAAGATTCAGATTTAGTATGAGGGTATAGCCTAAATTTAGTTTAGCACCTCAAAGCCTGAAGGTCTGAGTGGCTCTACAACACGTTACTCTTGTTTTTATATGGCATACGCCAAATTCCCAATTCAAGACACTGTTGAGAAGGTTCCGTTAGCAATAATAACTAGGTCTCAAAGTCACATAATCCATCTTCTTGTCAGTGCTAGACTCTCCCAGAAAAAAAAAAAGAGCATTTAAGGAAGGCATGTTATACTTCTACTAATATAGATGGAACCCAGCAACAATTTGTAGAATCCAAAAACTTATTTACTTAAGAAAAAAACTCACATGTCCAAAGACTGGAATCTCTGCATTAACAATGGGAAATCTAGCCTGGTCCATGTATATCAAGACACCAATTGCATTGAAACTTTGAGCATTTGCAACCTAAAGGAAAACATGTAAAGATCAGAAAATGAAGATGTAATCACACAAAATCAGAAGAATATGTATTGGGCTTTAAGCTAAAAGACAAAGGGTTAGAGAGGACTGCACTGAAACCCCTCAATGTTTCAAATAGCTTATATGTTGAGACAAAATTCTTGCCTTAACTAACTCATCAAGGAGTTTCAAAGACAAATAATAAAAACCCATCCAACACAACCACGGTCTTTTGCTATGTTCCATTCTAGGTGCTTATAGAGCTTTGACTTTTAATTTTCCTTTTCATAAAGCATAGTTAGAACTGAATTCTCTATATACATAAAACTGGGTTATATAGAACATAACAGTTAAAGCACCTTAATTTAACAATAATTTAACAATCCTATATGACAACAGAATATTGTTATTTTAAATTTAAACTGCTTTCACTTAAGCATTTCTGATTACTTCTTTTTCACTGAAAGACAATGACTGCAGAATACTCCAAGTGGCTCTGCCATAGTTTTACAAGTGTCCTACAGTTTAGAGAATTGGAATGTACGTAATTTGTTGAACACTTTAATAAATTATGTTATTAGGTATGAGAGTTTAAGACTGACAGTTTTCAGAATGTAAAAAAAATCAATACCATTTAAATGAAGAATGGTATGATACCAGTGTACTCAATAACTTATACTCACCTTTTCAGCAAAAGTGATTTTCCCTGCTCTAACGATCACTAAAGATCCATTCACAGGAGAGTTTAAATTCTCAAAGTCTTTTTTGGTGCCAAAATTAGCATGGACCAGTCTACCCTAGAATAAAGACATCAGAGTTAATGAGCATTATGGTAATTAGAACAGCCATAGAGTCTGAGACAGGATGGTTTTTACAGATCAAACCCAAGAGAGAAAACAAAAAGACAAAAAGGAGGTGAAAGCCTAGAAAGGATGTAAGAGAGTTCTAGTCGAACCGGTCACAGTTATCAGGAGTGAATCAAGACTTTTGGCCTCCTATATTCACGTCTGGTACCATCACATGCTGCCTTTAATCTAATTCGCATTGACCTATTGACTTTTAATCTCTTTTACATTGCTTCCAGTATTTGGGGGGAAGAGAAAAGCAAACAGAATATGATAAACAAAGAGACATATACCAATATAGATACTGTAGGCTAGCCCTGGCCGCACCAATTACATAAAGTTCCTAACATCTGAATGCTAGATAATTGAGGACATCCATAGGAATGGGTCTTAACTGAAAGTTCTGATAATAAACCTGTGTGAAAATTGTTGAATACTACTACAATGAAGTGACTTGCATAGATCAACTTTTAGATGTTTATAAAAGCTGTCTCATAATGTTCCTAAATTTTATTAACAGAGCTATCAACTGACATTGACAAGCAAATATCCAAATATAGAAAGCTCGCAGGTGAACGAAAACCCTGTGTTCTTTTATTTTTTTTAATTAATTAATTTATTTGAGAGAGAGAGAAAGGGGGGGTTGGGAGGAGGGGGAGAGGGAGAGAGAGTGCCAAGCAGACTCCGTGCTCAGCGTGGAGCCCCACACAGGGCTCAATCTCACCACCCTGAGATCAAGACCTGAGCTGAAACCAAGAGTCGGATGCTTAACTGACTACGCCCCAGATGCTCCCAAACCCTCAATGTTCTTGGCCAGAAGTCCACCCACCTCCAAACTCCTAGCTTGTAGGTAGCCAGGGAAAGTGATATGGCACACGTAAGACTTTATCTGGCTTGAAGGCATCCACCAGATAGACCCCTGATATACAAACATGTTTTTTCACCTGAAAAACCTAGATAGATCTATTTTTCAATTTCTGTAGTAGTTTGGCCATATTTGCCTAAATTTTAAAAGATCAAGCATTAAAAATTCAAGCTAAGACTAGACTCCAGCCAAGATGGTTACTTCTCTCTGTCCCCACATGGCATCTTGATATACACATTCATTCAGCAAACACCATCATGTGTCAGGCACTGTCCAAGGCTCTGTGACATAGCAGTACATAAAGCCAACCTCTAGCCCTTCATGTAGCTTACATTCTAGCATGGAAACAAATGTCAGGTGTGTAAGTCCCATGAAGAAAAATAAAACAGGATAAGGGGAAGTGAATGGAGGACGGCCATTTTTAACAAGATAATCAAGGAAGACGTCCCTAAAGAAGGGAAGAAGTGGAGCAGAGACTTGCACAAAATGAGGAACAGGCCATGTTGGTATTTAAGGGAAGAGTGGGGCCGGCAGAAGAAAAGGTAAGTTTTATAAAGGCCTTGAGGTGGGAGCATGCCTGCGTTTGAGAGTCTGAGGAACACCCAGAGAAGCTGGGGTGGCCAGAGCACAGTGAAGGAGGAAAAGAGCAGGAGGATGACTAGGGCCTTACTGTCCTAGATGAGGACCTGGGATTTTACTTTCACTGTGGCATAGGAGGTTGAGAACAAGAGCATCTCACGATCGGTTTCATTTTACAAGTAAATTTACACCAAAATCCTAAGAAAAGTAATGATAAGGAGTTTCTGAGCTCCTCAGCAGGGAAAAAAAAAAATCTCATGCACTGTTTTGCCTTACTTACAGTAACTGTCGCTGCCTTACTGTATGCCACGTAACCCTCAGGACTCTCCACCAGGTACACCATGCCACCGTCCGTGCCCACTATGGTCACCGAGTTTTGAGCACTGCTAAAAAAGATTAAGTTAAAGTGAAGCTGAAGCTAAGGACAACCTTGGGGAAAAAAATTAAATGGCTTTAATACATTTAGCATTTGACTTGCATTATTTACTTTGAAAGTCTCTGCTATATTAGCACACCTGAAAACAGCTACTTACATAAAATCAGTTTACCATCTTTCAACATACCTGCTTTTGACCTGAATCTTAACAAAATGTTCATCACGCCAGATTTTGCTAAGTAGAAATGCACGGAACTGATTCTCAATGAAAAAAGCAAGGCTTTCATCTTTTTGAGATCCTGCCTCACGAGGGACATACGAATTTTCATTCAGCAGCCTAGAGGAAAAACCGTCACTGTTAAATGAACTGAAATTTAATTTAAAATAAACAATGAACTCAAATATCAAGCAAATTGTTTTAAAAGCATAACTCAATACTACTCAACATAGCTAAATTAACTGTGACCCAAAATTCCTGGGCTGACTAAAGACAAACTTAGGAAAAAATGGCCAAATATCTGAAGGAATTTATGTCTTCAGCTTGTTAAAAACTCTTTATCCAAAGTAAAGTGGTCCTTCAAGAGCCCCATCCTAAGGAGGTACCTGCTTAGGATAGTTTTAGGGGAAATGAATAGTTTCCAAGAAATCTGTTGTAAGCAAAATGAAAGATAGTGTTACTGTTGGTGAACTCAAGAAGTACAGCTTTAATTTTCACCTACTTTGAAGCAAAACTACTCCTTGTTCTGATTTCCTATGTCTCATTGTAAATATATATAGATCATATAGATTTTTTTCTTTCGTAAACTATACTCTCATTTTATCTATAATGCCTGGTATATAGTATACACAAAAGTATTCACTAGATGAAGTAAAAATGCCAAGATTCCTAACCTAAGACTAAGAGAATTATTGTACCACTGCAACTGTAGGAAGCCAGCTAATAGGTGAAAGATGAATACATTCTTTACACAGAGTTAGGTAAGTGTCTACAGAAGATCTTAAAAACCAAAGGACAGAAACCTTAAGGACACTTCTTAGTGTATAGATTAATGAGAACAAGAAGAAATCAAGGAATACTAAAGACATGATATGTCTCTATATCAAGTCGGGCAGTCAAGTTAGTCCTGATCTAAAGAGTAAAGAAGGCTACTGCTACCCTTGTGGATAGTAGCAAAGCTCAGCATGACTTACAAGGGGTTAAGATGAAAAATCAAAGCAGAAGAAAGTCTGACAGCAAGCAACAAGCTATAAAGAGCCAGATGACAAAAAGATCAAAGACCTATGGATTTTTTTAAAGAAAAAGGAGTGTCCTCACACTTCTCCCCATCCAACATAGTTTGAATTCTTCACTAATCGTTTACCCTCCAGCTGAACACAGGAAGCTTCCCCTAACTCTAAGAAGGCTTTCCTCCAGACTGTCACGTTTGTTGTGTTGCACTGCTCTGAGTAATTGGTATTTGTTTAGGTATTGAGATTAAATTTGTGAAGTAGCTCAAGCTTACCTGATGGTGGTGAGGAAGTTTGTGTTACTCAGTCTCTCTGACAACACTGTTTTGAGGTCCGTCCAAAATAAGCGAGAAGGTGTTTCAGGGAAGTACTCTTCTGTTTCTGAAGGTTCTGTTCCCTCTGTCCCCAGAGACTTCGTTCCTGATGGTCTCTCACATTCAGCTTTTGGTTCTATACGTTTACAATAGCCGAAGTAGCCAATCATAAATCCTAAGGATAAAAAGTTTCATGGCTGAACTCACAGATTTTCCCTTATAATATATCCCCATAGGAACTGTTAATATTTTCAGCTAAGCCTTAAAAATACAGGTTTATTCAAATTGTAAGCAGTTTGAAAGTAAATAATCTCAGTTTTGTATAATTTTAAACCATTCAATCTAATAAATCATACAGTTGACTCTTGGACAATGTGGGGGGATGGGTTTAGGGTGCAGACCCCACACACAGTAAAAAAATCTGCATATAATTTTGACTCTCCAAAAACGTAACTACTAATAGCCCACTGTTGACCAGAAGCCTTAGGATGACATAAATGATCGATTAACATATATTTTGTATTTTATATGTATTATACAGTATATTCTTACAACAATACCTATCTTTTTCTTAACTTTTTCAGTATTTCTAGGCTATGCAGTTTGGTCTATAAGTTTTTTCAAATTGTCACAAATCTCCAAAAAATTTTCCAATATATTTATTGAAAAAAATCTGCATATAAGTGGGCCCACACAGATCAAGCCCATGTCGTTCAAGAGTCAAATGTATAATAACTCGAAATAGTTACCTTTTTATTTTGTTTTTTTTTCCATGTATTTAAATAATCTCTACACCCAGCATAGGGCTTGAACTCATGATCCCAAGATCAAGAATCACATGTTCTACTGACTAAGCCAGCCACGTGTCTCTAAATAGTTACCTTTTAAAGATATAGGTAACTTTTCTTCCCAGAAGCCTTCCTTGAATCCTTAGGGCAAGCTTCTATGCTACAAATATCCTGTGAGTATTTCTAGTATAACATTTGCACATTACAATGAAATGATTCATGTGTCTTTCTCCCCCCACCAGGCTCAACTCAAGGCAGGCCTGGAATCTTCTTCATCATTGGTATACCTAGTGCCTAGCATAATGGCACATAAAAAGGTACAAAATAAATGTTTGCTTGGCTGAATTAACACCCTTCCTAGAGTCTTTAACAAGGAACATTTAAGTTTTGAATGGTCACTCTTACCAATCAAGAAAAAGAGGACTACAGCAATAGTCCCATAGCAGATAAATCCATTAAGCTTTTTTGGTTTTGTGACACTGGCATGATTACCCCCCACGTTATTGTCAACACTTTCTTCTTCATCTGCAGCTAGTTTCATCTCCACATGACTGTTATCACCATCTACTTGCCGTGCCAGACTAAACCGGGTATAGGACAATGGTTCTCCACCAAACTGAGATTTGAAAAAAAGAGAGAAAGAAAGCATTATGAAAGAGAAGAAAGGGAAGAGGAACATTTACAAAAAGTTTGGTTGGGTACTGTACTTATTATTGGGCCATTATTAGGACTTGCTATATATTCTTAAGAAAAAAGAAGTGCCTCTTTCAAAGCGACATGCTTCCCTATGCCTAGTTCTGTCCATGACAGATGAAGGCTAGGTCACACACTGGCCTTCCTCTCATTCAGCCTTTTCATTCAGGGTGTCTGTTATGTATGTCTACTAACATAGGTATATATTTTGAACAGCGCTTTCTTCAGTTCCTCTTATCCACTTGGCTGTCCCCCTCCCACCCCACCCAAAAAATACCCTGGAAGTTCTTATAGGATTTTCCAAGTTCACTCTACTCAAGACTGAATATACCCTTCCTTTGTGGGATCTGTTACATCTCAAGACCACCACTTCAACATAAACAAATACTTTATGATACCTTTGAATATTACTTCATGCTTACTGGGTGAGAGTCATTCTTGTATACTTCATATTCTCACAAACTGGTGACAAGAAATACAACCTAAAATATCTTACCAAGGTAGAGAATGCTGATCTGGCTTGATCCATCATTCTGAGCTGCCACACAGAAGAAGAGCCTAGTATTAAAACAGAAAATTAATATGAGATAGATACCACTATATCAGATAAGTGAGGGCTTTTCATTATCATGCTAGATTATTATACATCAAATTTACTTTTAAATATATTATCACCTTTCTAGAAAGAGTCTTTAACAAAGATATTTAGTTTATAGGATAACTAAACTTAGTGTAATCCTTGATTAGATCCTGAATTGAGGTGGGGTGGGGGTGGGGACAGGGACAAAGAATATTGTTGGGAGAAATAAATCTAAATACAAACTACATACTGGTTAACAATACTGTATCAATGTTAGATTTGGAGAGTGAGATAATGGTATTCTGTTTTTGGAGGAGAATGCCCTTGTTCTTAGGAAATTAATGCTGAAGATTTCAAGAATGAAGTATCAGCTCAGTTAGAGGAGCATGCAACTCTTGATCTCAGGGTTGTGAGTTCAAGCCCTATGTTGGGTGAAGAGATTACTAAAATAAATAAATAAATAAACTTAAAAAAAGAATAAAGTATCATAACTTCTATTTTTTTTTTTTAAGGATTTTATTTATTTGACAGAGAAAGAGCACACACAAGCAGGGGAAGCAATAGAGGGAGAGGGAGAAGCAGGATCCCTGCTGAGCAGGAAGCCCAATACGGGACTCTATCCCAGGACCCTTGGATCACGACCTGAGCTGAAGGCAGATGCTTAACCATCTGAGCCACCCAGGCGCCCCACATCCTAACAGTTCAGTTTTAAAAAGTGTATAAGAAATAAAGCAAATGTGGCAACTATTAATAACTGATGAATCAGAGTAAAGGGTACAAGTATATATATACTGTACTACTATTTCAATTTTTCCTATAGGCTTGAAATTTTTCAAAATTAAAAATGTGGGGGGCTCTATTTTCAACTTTTTGAGGAACATCCATACTGTTTTCCACAGTGGCTGCACCAGTTTGCATTCCCACCAACAGTGTAGGAGGGTTCCCCTTTCTCCGCATCCCTGCCAACATCTGTCGTTTCCTGACTTGTTAATTTTAGCCATTCTGACTGGTGTGAGGTGGTATCTCATTGAGGTTTTGATTTGGATTTCCCTGATGCCGAGTGATATTGAGCACTTTTTCATGTGTCTGGGGTATTTACCCCAAAGATACAAAAGTAGGGATCCAAAAGGGTACGTGCACCCCAATGTTTATAGCAGCAATGTCCACAACAGCCAAACTGTGGAAAGAGCCAAGATGTCCATCGACAGATGAATGGATAAAGAAGATGTGGTATATATATACAATGGAATATTATGCAGCCACCAAAAGGAATGAGATCTTGGCATTTGCAACGACGTGGATGGAACTGAAGGGTATTATGCTGAGCAAAATAAGTCAAACAGAGAAAGACATGTATCATATGACCTCACTGATATGAGGAATTCTTAATCTCAGGAAACAAACTGAGGGTTGCTGGAGTGGGGGGTGGGGTGGGAGGGATGGGGTGACTGGGTGATAGACACTGGGGAGGGTATGTGCTCTGGTAAGCGCTGTGAATTGTGCAAGACTGTTGAATCTCAGATCTGTACCTCTGAAACAAATAATGCAATATATGTTAAGAAAAAAAAAAAGAAGAAGGTAGCAGGAGGGGAAGAATGAAGGGGGGGAAATCGGAGGGGTAGACGAACCATGGGAGACGATGGACTCTGAAAAACAAACTGAGGGTTCTAGAGGGGAGGGGGGTGGGAGGATGGGTTAGCCTGGTGATGGGTATTGAGGAGGGCACGTTCTGCATGGAGCACTGGGTATTATGCACAAACAATGAATCATGGAACACTACACCTAAAACTAATGATGTAATGTATGGGGATTAACATAACAATAAAAATTTTTTTTTTAATGTGGGGGGGCACCTGGGTGGCTCAGTGGGTAAAGCGTCTGATTCTTGGTTTCAGCTCAGGTCATGATCTCAGGGTCGTGGGATCAAACCCCATGGTGGGAATCCACGCTCAGCAGGGAGTCTGCTTGAGATTCTCTTCCTCTCTCTCTCTGCTCCTCCCCTGCCCCCCCCAAATAAATAATAAATCTTAAAAAATATGTGGGGAAAATTAGTTAGAATGCCACCCATGTTAAGTAGATTTAAGTAACTGAATTTAGTAGTCAAAAGAACAAATACAAAAGACAACAGACTAGCACCTGAAAAAAAAAAAACAAACACCCAACTAAAGTAGAACTAAGCCAAGAATGGTCATGCTACAAAGACCAGTAACAAAGCATCTCCAATAAAAATGAGCAAACACCTGATCCTTCTGAGTAAATGAACAGTTCTTACAAATGATCTGGTAGATCTTTGATGCAAAAAGAATAGACAAAAAAAGAAAAACACAGTATGCAAAGAGGCCAATTATCTGAGATGTTAAGTGTCTTGTTCAAGGCCGAAAACATAACCCAAAACTGAAGTTCAATGGGTTACTGGGTTATAAAAATTGTGTTCTCATCTCCAGAAATTTAAGAAATTAATCTTAACCTTTGAATCACTATGTTTATGCCTAAAACTAATATAATATCGTATGTCAACTATACATCAACACATCAATTAAAATAAATGACAACCATTTTATTATTATTTTTAAGTTTTTTTTAATTTTCCAGTAATCTCTACATCCAATGTGGGGCTTCAACTTACAACCCTGAGGTCAAGAGTCACATGCCCTACCGACTGACCGAGCCAGCCAGGCGCCCTGACAACCACTTTAAAAGTACAAAACAACTCTGTAACCAAGAGAGTCCTATATTAAGTTAAAGCATAGGTATTAACTGAAATCTGGATTTTCTAATTATTTTTATTTGAGTGCCTCTAGATGTTTGAAAGTTATATTATGTTGAAATTTATTTTATATAATGGCCACTTATTTCATACTATTTTAAGGCTTTTCCGATACTACAATTACACTTACTGCACATTTAACATCCACATGGCACAAAGCAAACTGTGAGATACACGCAGATTGTAAAAGACAGTATATAAACTGGCAATTAGAAAAGTCTCCTATCAAAACCTATTAACAACAACAAAAATTTAATGCCCACGCTTTAAAGACCAGAGCTAAGAAGTAAGAGATCATCTTAGAAGCACAGTCTCTTGCCCTATCTGGTACAAAAAGTTTATCACTATCACTGCACCAGAACGGTACAAACCCAATCACTAAAACCAGAACTAGAAGACTCCACCCTGAACCAATTTTAATCACCCTTTTCTAGGAAAGAGCAGCTTTCAAGTTTAATATTCTTCTGAATCAGCCATTCCTCAAGGTTTCTGGCTTTAAATTAATTTTGAGACTAAAGTGACAACACTTTTAAATACATGATCTGAGGATTTAAATAAATGACAATGAAATTAAATGACTGCACATCTGCATAAACAAAGATATTAATAGAATATAATTATGATTTTGTATAATTAAAATCAAAATACATTTTTTACTGAGAAAACCAGTATGTTATTTCTATTTCAATACCTAGACACAAAATTAAGATTATAACATAAAAGAAATCAAGTTAGAGGAAAAAAACTGTGACCTAGGCAATTTCCATTTTAACCCCATAATTTAATCCCACATCTATGAAGAACATGATAATTCTATGATCTATAAAAGTTGTTCCTTAAGTTTTATATATAACAAATGAGTCATTCTTTCAAAATGACCTCACACACAGTAAAGCTCTGTATTTAAAAGAACCCCCTAATAAATTTTCTTGCAACTGAGATCACTTTAATTTATGTGCTCTAAAAGCATGGGAGAAACTTTCCATACCAGTTATAACTGTCTATAAACAGGTGGTTATGTTAAAAGACATAAGGATATATGTATTGTGTACAGACTCCTGGTTTTAAGACACCCCAAAGTAGCTTAAGACCTCAAGGTAGTTACTGTATTTTAAAAAATTAAATAGAAATTAATGCCACATTTCCAGAAAGTAGGAATAAAACGATTTGAATTATAAGGAAGTTCAGGACTGTATTAGCTAGTACCTAACGCCAACAACTTTTATATGGCTTATTTCAAGATGTCACCACTGCTGATAATCTATAACAAGAGACAAACCAAACATCACCTTGATTTTTATACATACTAGCACCTTGTATATATTTAGTGCTCTCAGATAACTGGAAAACCTATTCAGTTTCTCACATTAATAATGAAAACTAAGCTAAGCAAACAGAGCCCCCCATGTTTTGAACACAAAATGGGAGGAGGATCGGTAATGTGTTAATTGAGCCATGGGATGGAAGACAGGAAGTAGGCAAAGGTACTAGCTAGACTACAGTCTACAATTTATAGTTTACAAAAAATAGGGACGCCTGGGTGGCTCAGTTGGTTAAGCATCTGCCTTCGGCTCAGGTTACGATCCCGGGGTCCTGGGATTGAGTCCCGCATCAGGCTCCCTGCTTGGCGGGGAGCCTGCTTCTCCCTCTACCCCCACCCCCTGCTCATGCTCTCTGTCAAATAAATAAATAAAATCTTAAAAAAAAAAATAATTTACAAAGAATTAACAAAGAATAAAGATATTTTATTTCTTAACAGTATTGGGGCATGCTTAATGTATATGAAGTTCATTTTTCATATCATTTGGAAATTACATAAAATATATAATGAAAATCTTGGACCTGGAATCTTCTCCCTTTCCTGCCACTATTCTGGTTTATCCTGGAATCACTGGGCAAAGCACGGATAGTAGGGAGATTTTAAAAAGTAGAAAAACTTTAGGGGCGCCTGAATGGCTCAGTCGGTTGGGCCTCTGACACTTGGTTTCGGCTCAGGTCATGATCATCAGAGTGGTGGGATTGCGACAGGCATCCAGCAGCAGATCTCTGAGCTCTGCGAAAGAGTTGGCTTGAGATTCTTTCCTTCTCCTCCTCCCTCTGCCCCTGCCCCCACTTGTGTGTGTTCTCTGTCTCTCAAATAAATAAATAAAATCTTAAAAAAAAAAAAAGGCAGAAAGGTTACCTGGTAGGGCTCCAAGTTCTTAAGCAATTGAGTATGGATACCCGTTTTGCAAACTGTTTCCCTATTCATTTGCAGGTGAAAATGAAAAGGTTACATGAATTTACAAAGCTTCTGCAGAGCCCTCAGGACACATATTATTGTGTACACCCAGGATGACTTGTAAAGAGATGGACAAGGTCTTTCCTAGTTTTAAGGGTCTAAAATGAAAAGGTTGTGCGGTGTCTGGGAGGCTCAGTCGCTTGAGCATCTGACTCTTGGTTTCAGCTCAGGTCACGATCTCATGGGTAGTGAGATCGAGCCAGAGAGAGGCTCAGCACTCAGCAGGGAGGCTGCTTGAAGATTCTCTCCCTCTGCCCCTCCCCACCAAATAAATAAATAAATCTTTTTAAAAAATGAAAAGGCCGTGGAGGAAAACAAAGAGAATCTTCATTCCTATTCAGCTTTCTGTAAAAAGATTGCCCAACTCAAAGGTCAGGACCACTTGAAGTCATTGCCATCTACCTGTATGGTGTTCATCTGAGACAGCACACAAGAAGCACACAGAGAAGAGTTCCAAAAGGCCTCAGAGGGTCATTTTTAACTAGATTTCACTGTTGTCTGATTCAGGTTTCATCAGGAACCTTGCTCCATTATAGATAAAGTACATTATCAGAGGCAAATAACTGCCACAACTTAGGGCAGAGTCAGTAGAGTCGTTGTCTCTACCCAACAATCTTCAGCACAGGCTAACTTCACAACCATTACTTCACAAAAACCTTCCACCAACGAAAAGTTAAAGGGTGCTGTGCTATATATAAATTTTTGGAAAATATTTCATATCGATAAAAAATTTTTTAATTTTAGGTCTTCTTGTGAAGTATATTGAGTTCATTATAATCTAAAACGGAGAAAAAAACCCAGCAGGGCCAACAAGTACTGTAGAGAGCCTAAACTTGAGTTTTGCAATAGAAAACAACTTCTGGAAATCACCTTAAATGTCTTTGTCAATAAGGTCACCCCCCCCAGCCCCCCGCCGCCCAGCTCAGCCGCAACTGAATCAGCATCTAGTATTCCAACTCATATCTAAGCCTAGAATAAAGGTATCAGGTATCCAAATACTTCTGTAAGAGGACAACTATTTCCTACTTCAATCCTCTTACCCCACACCTCCCAGAAAAGAAAGCAAAAGCAATTAAGTTCCCTGGTCTATCCACGGTCGCTGGAAGCAGGGGAAAAATGTTAACCGAAGAGTCAAGTCACAAAATATTATTTTCTTACCCTACCCACTACTACTTTAGCCATCCACTAGAAACACTAATACAATGGGCCTCTAAGGCATTTATCAATATAGCACAGCCTTTTAGCCATATCGCTAATTTCCTGAAAGCAAAAGCCAATTCCAATCCAAACAGCTTTTACTTAGCCTCTAGACCATAGCGTTCACAAAGCAGAAGTCTCATTTCTGCGTCTCCCACCTTAAAACAAGGAGAGCCTAGCAATCAGAATAATCTTCGAGTCAATACCTGCGGAGTTCAGGGGGCTTCTGCCTGGGGAAAACTGAGAACCCACACACAAGGCCAGCTGCAACGCTGAAGATCAGGACGTACCAGAGTTCAAACGCACGGCTTACAGAAACTCCCATCAAATTCCCAGGACACACTCGTAACCGAGTCGAGGACAGCTCTGTCCCTTTCAGCAGTGAGACCAGGGCCCGCGCAGGCCCCGAGAGCGAAGGGCTACAAGCTCAAGGTCACCCATGCACCCCTACAGCAATTCCCTGCGGACACTTCCCGGAGCGGCCACGTGTTCCCCGCAGAGCTGGTCTACGCTGCGGCAGCGTGGCTCGCACTCCCGCGCCCGCGGCCTAGGGTTGTCCCACGAGGTCCCGCATCTTTTAAGGACGAGCTAGTGAGGACAAGGGATCCGGGTGGGCCTGAGGACCGGAAGCAGAATGGCGGGGTCAGAACGACAGTGGGGGACCCCTCATCTCGCCCTCCGTGCCCTAATGGAGAAACCATTCGCCGCTCCGCGACCGAGACAAGGCGCAGAAAAGCAGACAGGACAGCCCTTCTCCGCACAGCGGCTCCACCTCGCTGCACCTGCAGCCCGCTCCCCGCGCCGCCGCGGCGCCTTCCAGACCCGCACACGGACCCCGCTCCATCCCGCCCGGCCCTCTTGGAAGTCGCCGCAGCCTCCCCGCGCCCCTTGCGGCTCCCGGACGCTGCTGGACAGCACCCAGCGGCCTCCGGTGCGGCCCCGCCCTGCCGGCTGCGGAGAGGCCAGGAGGGCCGCCGGGATTCCGGCTTCGGCGCGTCACTCACACGGACACCCCTCCGGCCGCTACCGACAGAGCCGCCACAGGCCGAAGCTGACGTTCTCTGGGGGATGTTCGCCCCCAACCGGCTGTTTATAGCTTGGCCCCACCCTCTTCCGACCCCTCTCCCAGGCTTTGCGTCACTTCCTGTCTCACGTAGACCCAAGAGGTGCCCTGGAAATGGACTGCCTGGGGCGAGGGGTGCGCACGCACCGGGACAAGGACCCTCGGCTAGTGTGCGAGGAGGGGCGAGGAGGGGCGGGGCGGGGCGGGGCGGGGCGGGGCGTGGTCGCACAGAAAAGGCGCCAAGACTGCAGGTGCCGGGAGCAGCGGTGGGATCCGCGCGCTGGCTTTCTCCTCGCCGCCTTCCGCTGCGGCGCGCGCGGGCCGCAGCCCTGCTACCCCGATCCCGCCGTCTAACCTTGACCGACCTCCAGGCCCTGCAGTGCAAAGGCAAATGGTGTTAGCGTTTACTCCTAAATTTTGGATACATACACGAAAATAATTCCGTAAAGTGTATGACCTTGTTGGAATATTAGGTAGCCACTAGCGCCATATTGTATATATTTTGCAGCCTCTGAAATATTTAGGATAAGCAAAAAGGAAAAAAATTAAAAGCAAAATGCAAATTTGTACATAGGATGTGTAAAAGATGCACATGGACCAAGACTGGCACAGTGCTTTGCATAATGTTTAATGCAAGAAGGAATGAAAGGGAAAATAGAAACAAGTGAGATTTATTAGGGGGATAGAATTGTAGATGAACTTTTATGTTCATTGCCATTATTGTTATTACAGAGTTGTGCAGTGTATAACAAATAAAATAGGATTCTTGTCATTTTTTAAACTCTTACCAACATCCACACCCTCTCCCCGCCTCTAGGCGGTAATTGCAGTCCAGGGAGGGAGATTAGACGATTTTACAAACAGCTACAAAGCGAGAAGAGGATCCAGGGCCGTAAAAGGGTTACAGATAAAGCACTTTCCAGGTCAGAGCCCCGAGGGACGCAGGACCGTCCTTTAAAATGCAAATCCGTTTCCTGGCTTCGGCCCCGGCTCTTTCCCCTATTCTGCGATATATTAGAGGAAATAACACGGGGTTTGCACACCGCCCTTCACTCTGGCCCAGTTCTAAAATCTCTCCCCAGGGAGAAATATTTTTAAATCTTATAAGCAGGAGCTTCGCTGCATCCTAGTGGATCTACACAGGAAAAAGTGAAATCGGCGAATGGGATGGTTATGGATTAGCTGTGGAGGGGCCGCCTTGAAATTCAGACAATGGGCCAGCTGAATGAGTCTCTTCTCCCTTTCCTTGACTGCTGGGATCTTAACAATGCTAGAGTCTAGGTGAAAATCTTATAACCATATATGGAGAAATGGGCTTAGGAGACCACAGTCGGGAGGGAACCTATGAAAATCCAAATTAAAAATTTACATGCCCTGGTGCAGCCACTATAGAAAACAGTATGAGGGTTCCTCAAAAAATTAAAGATAAAACCACCCTAGGGCCCAGTAATGGCACTACTGGTATTTACCAAAAACTACAAAAACATTAATTCAAAGGGATACATGCACCCCTATGTTTATTGCAGCATTATTTACATTATTTACAATAGCCCAATTATGGAAGCAGCCCAAGTGTCATTGATAGATAAATGGCTAAAGAAGATGTGGTGTATATATACAATGGAATACTTTTTAGCCATAAAGAGTGAAATCTTGCCATTTACAACAATATGCTTAGAGCTAAAGAGTATAATGCTAAGCAAAAGAAGTCAGAGAAAGACAAATACCATCTGATCTCACTCATATGTGGAAGTTAAAATACAAAATGAATGAGCAAAGGAAAAAAGAGAGAGACACACACACCAAGACTCTTAACTATAGAGAACAAACTGATGTTTATGGGGGGAGGGGCAGGGGATGGGGATTAAAGAGTACACTCACCATGATGGAAAAAAAAAAATTAAAAGAAAAAGTAACACGAAAAAAATTTACAGTCACTAAAATGAAACAATAAAGGAGACACTACTTTAAAGAGCATGTCAATTATATTTTTAATTTCATACCTCTTATTAGTAATAATGGAATGTAATTAAATTCCCTTTCCTATCCCTTTCTCCCTAGAAGCTTTGCAGGATCTCCCTCTTCTGCAGTTTCAAGTAGATGAATATAAATTTCTCTTGCTTCGTTGCAGAATCTATACATACTGAGAGACAATTCTGCTTTGTCTGGTATTCCATACAAATGTTCAAATATTTTATTTTTTTTAATCTGATCTTCGTTGTTGTTGCCATTATTACATAGCTTTATATCCCACTTCTGGACCCAATAATTTGGATGCTTGCAATGAAATAAGTTTTTGGTAACTAATCTTTATTTTTTATTTTTTAAAGATTTTATTTATTTATTTGACAGAGAGAGAGACAGCGAGAGAGGGAACACAAGCAGGGGGAGTGAGAGAGGGAGAAGCAGGCTTCCCGCCCAGCAGAGAGCCCAATCCCAGGACCCTGTGATCATGACCTGAGCCAAAGGCAGACGCTTAATGACTGAGCCACCCAGGTGCCCCGGTAACTAACCTTTATTTAAACTATCCGGCAAACTGAAATGACTATTATTCAAGTTCCAACCTTCTTCAGACAGTTACATTAAAGTCACACTAGAACTAAAATTCTTGCAGCTTGGGGGAAGGTCCATTTTTTCCTCTGTCCTTCTAGTTCTTTGGCTGGTAAGTTGATATAAAACAGAGTAACCGGAGAAAAGCAAATGTAATTACAGATATATGGGAGCCCCACAAGAATATGAGACCCAAGGACAAGTTGGACAATTGAGGCTTATATGCCATCAGGAGTTAAGGAATAAGATGGGGGCCTAGGGCTTTCAAAGGGAAGAGGATAATTCACAGGACCGTAAGAAGAGCAGATGTTTAGTAATTAAATGTTTGCCCTGCCATACTGATGGGTCATTCAGACAAAATTTATCTCTGGTAATAACTCTTATTCTGGGTAAAACCCCCAGTTTAGATTCTTCATGGTAGTTAGGGGAGGGGCAAACCTTTCTCTTGAGCCTGCAGGTCTTAGTTGCCTTCAGCTCAATGTAGTCCACATGCCCAATAGTATATTTTGGGGTCACATATTCTGCTTCCCTTCACATTCTTCCAAAAGGCACACAGAAATTTTTTTTGAGTCATGTTATCAGAATTTTGCATAAAGGAAACTGGAGGTTGGAGAGGAATGTACAATGTACTTTCAAAAAAAAAAAGCCCTTGAGGTCTGGGGGAAAGAGCACAGAATCAAGGAATGGGAGTTCTCAAATTTCATGAGCCTGGTATCAGCACTAAAATGGGATTGGGGCGCCTGGGTGGCTCATTGGTTAAGTGACCAACTCTTGATTTCTGCTGAGGTAGTGATCTCAGAGTTGTGGGGTTGAGCCCCATGTCAGACTCCATGATCAGCAGGGAGTCTACTTCTCTCCCTCTCCCTCTGCCCCTCCCCTGCTGTCTCTCTCTCTCTCTCTAATAAATAAATAAATCTTTAAAATGGGATTAAAAATACCTGCGTTGCAGAGTTTCTGTGGGTTTAAATGCAGTAAGACAATCCCAAGCTCCTAAAAACACACAGTAAACTGGCACATAGTAGAGACACTGGTCAGCATTGGTTGAGTCAGATGGGTGGGATGGAGCAGAGTCAGGCAGGAAAGTAACATGGAAGATGTCTGCAGACCAATATAGGATTTTAGGTTAATGAAGAGGAAGAAATAAGGCCTTCACCCTAGGAGAATGGCTTGCCTGAAGACTCCGAAGTGAGGATGAGCCTGTGGCATACCATAGTTTGAAGATCCTACTCTACAGAAATACCTGACAGTTACTCCCAGGGAATTACTGGTGGAAGAAGGGGTACAGGAGTCATCAGCTGGAAAATTCTCCCCCTTTCCCTTTTTTCTTCACCTTTTAGATAAGAGCCAAAGTTCTGTTATTTGGTGAAGGAGAAATTGCAGGAAAAAACAAACCAGAAAGCCATCCCAGCCTAGAAGTCAGCAACTGGCCTCGGAGTGGTTACCAGTTGTGATGCAGAGACATGGGCTTAATGGCTCCATGCCTCAGTTTCCCCATTGGCCACATGGAGATAACACCCTTTTATTTCCTTCGCCAGTGAATGAAAAAGTGGAAAAGTTCCTTAAACTACATGGTTATGCAAATACAAGGTGCTGCTAGTTCAGAGCCCAAGCCAAGTGAGTAAATGTGGCCAGAGGGGGAGAAGCCTGGAAACGGTAAAGTTCTAAGTAACTATTGCTTAAGGAAAGGAAAACTGTCTTTAACGGCTTTCAAGGCCCTGATTCCAGAAAAAAAGAAAAAAAAGGGCGCCTGGGTGGCTCAGTTGGTTAAGCGACTGCCTTCGGCTCAGGTCATGATCCTGGAGTCCCTGGATCGAGTCCCTGGATCGAGTCCCTGGATCGAGTCCCGCATCAGGCTCCCTGCTCGGCAGGGAGTCTGCTTCTCCCTCTGACCCTCCCCTCTCATGTGCTCTCTCTCATTCTCTCTCTCTCAAATAAATAAATAAAATCTTTAAAAAAAAATGACTCATTATTGATAATGGCTGAGAAGAAAAGGTAATTAATTGCCATCATTATTAACATTTATTGTAGTAGTGGTTTTTTTTGTTTGTTTTTTTTTAAAGATTTTATTTATTTATTTGAGACAGAGAGAATGAGAGACAGAGAGCACATGAGAGGGGGGAGGGTCAGAGGGAGAAGCAGGCTCCCTGCCGAGCAGGGAGCCCGATGCGGGACTCGATCCAGGGACTCCAGGATCATGACCTGAGCCGAAGGCAGT